AAAGGGATATTCTAAAAATACATATAATAATGCCATTTCTCTGCAAAAAGTTATGGTCCTCTGCACCCCAATGGTAAAGTTCATATTCTTGAGCATGGCATTCATGTTCTATATTATGGCATTCATGATATAGCCCCAACCCACCTTAACAATCTCATATCCAGCTACTCACATTTTTCATCTAAAATAGGTTTCTATGATCAAACCACACTGAACTTTTTATTTTAATTTTATATTTTCTTAGACAAACCATGATATTTTACTCCTCCAAGTTCTGTTTGAAATCTCCCTTTCCTTTATTCCACTTACTGTAATCCTTCAAGTGCCAGCTGAAATGTGACCTATTTTTCAAAGTGTTCTCCAGCCCATCAGACAGAATTAGCACTGTCCTCCTCATAGCACTTATTTTCATGATTCTGCTTATATTTTAATAATTGATGTATTTATCTTGCTGGGCTAGTGTGAAGCCTCTCAAAGCTCCTCCCCACTACTTGCCCACACATAGAAGAGAGGCCTCCCTGTCTGATAAGGATTCACTCCCAAGTCTCTGCAGTTTCTGAATTTGGTCTGTGTGTTTTTATTTGAAAATAGATGTCTCGTCAGGGGGATGATACTGAACTCTTATTATCTGAAGGAACAATGAAGTCTCTCTTCAGAAAGAGAGTGGACTTTGGAAACAGACTTCAAGTTTTGAAAACTAGTTCTGCCACACTGGTTTTGTAACCGTGAGCCTCTTAGTGCCTTAGATTCCTCATCTGTAAAAAGGGACTAATAAGAGTTCACTACTTTAGCCCTGCTGGTTTGGCTCAGTGGATAGAACGTTGGCCTATGGACTGAAGGGTCCCAGGTTCAATTCTGGTAAAGGGCACATGCCCTGGTTGTGGGCTCGATCTCCAGTGAGGGGTGTGCAGGAGGCAGCCGGTCAACGATTCTCTCTCATTGTTGATGTTTCTCTCTCTCCCTCTCCATTCCTCTCTGAAATCAATACAAATATATTTTTTAAAAAAGAGTTTACTATTTTATAGACTAGTTTTGAAGATTACATGAGATAATCCATGTAAAATATTTACAACAGGGACTGGCATAGAGAAAGTGCTCAAATAATGGCATCTGTTAGTATTACCATTGTTGTTACTGTCATTATTATAATTGCCATTTTGTCATTATTTTTCAGCATATCCCAGAACTTGGAAATGGTTACCCTGGCAGAAGGACAAAAGTCCTCATCACTTTTATCATTCCATCCCCTATTTTTGTGAGCTAAGAAAAGATCCTTCCTATGTGGAAGTGACACTGTGTAGGTGCACACCTCAATGAAACTATACTCTCTTATACTGTATTGAGATGGTGATGATACTGTTATGACCTGTAAGACACAGCTTACCCCTGTTGTGTCCCCTAAAGGAGAACAGGGATGTAATTTTCTAGGGTCTCTCCACCAGAAGAAGAAAGTATTCAGATGGAAACAAGTAACTGAGATATTGGGTCTAAAGCATATGGGAGAAGGATTTCATGTCACTATTTATGTCATTGTTTTGAGAGGGTAAATGTGCTTGCAGTTACTCCTAAGTGCTGGATGTTTAAAGGTGGCCTCTGCTTCAAAGCATGTCCTGGAAGCACATGATCTAGTTACATGGCAGTCCTGTGTTTATGTCCCTACTGATATTTATGAGCCTTTGCTAATTATTTTTATTTGGTTGCTCTAGTGTGATAGCAATTATATGAGGGTTAAGAAAAGTAGGATCATGTATCTACCCTAGACCAGAGTAGGGGAACTATAGATGAACTCCTCTTGGCCCTGAACCCTATGGTGATGGCAGTGATTGGTGACAGGTTCCAAGGAGAACAAAACTCTCTGGCTGAAAAAGTCTTTGCAGAAAACTTAGCCCTTCCTCCCCAGATGGAAACTGTTGCCTCACTGCCTACTTGAAGCATAATAGTATAAATAATAACTAACAATTATTGCGTGTATATTATGTGCCAGGCACTGAAATAAATTTACCATCTCATATAATCCTCACCACAACCTAGAGAGGTAGGTACGGTTATTATTCCTATTTCTCTGTGGAGAAAGTTTGAGGTAGAGAGATATTATGAACTTACCTAAGATCCCACAGTTAGTAAGAAGCAGAACTAAAAATCAGTCCTGGGCACCTAGCTCCAGAGCCTGCATTTCTTTTTTTTTTTTAAATCCTCACCTGAGATATGTTGTGTTTTTATTATTACTAGAGGCCCGGTGAACAAAAATTTGTGCACTCAGGGGGATCCCTCAGCCTGTGCCCTCTTGCAGTCTGGGACCGCTCGGGGGATGACCACCTGTTGGCTTAAGCCCACTCACTGGGGGATTGGGCCTAAGCTCACAGTCAGACATTCCTCTGGCAGCCCAGAAGCCCTTGGGGGATGTCCACTTGCCAGCGGGGAGCAGGCCTAAGCTACAGTCGGACATCCTTAGCACTGCTGAGGAGGCGGGAGAGGCTCCCACCACCACCACTGTACTGGCAGCCATAAGCTTGGCTTGTGGCTGAGCAGAGCTCCCCCTGTGGGAGCGCATTGAGCATCTGCCCCCTGGTGGTCAATGTGTGTCATAGTTGACCAGTCATTCCCAGTCGTTCTGCTGTTAGGGTCAATTTGCATATTACCCTTTTATTATATAGGAGTGCCTGGCCAGCCTGGGTGAGGGGCTGATGGCTGTTTATAGACTGGCCACAGCCCCTTCAGGGTGGGGGTCCCCGCTGGGGTGCTTGGCCAGCCTGGGTGAGGGGCTGATGGCTGTTTGCAGGCTGGCCACAGGCCCTTCAGGGTAGGGGTTCCCCCTGGGGTGCCTGACCAGCCTGGGTGAGGGGCTGATGGCTGTTTTCAGGCTGGCCACACCCCCTTCAGGGTGGGGGGGTCCTGCTGGGGTGCCTGGCCAGCCTGGGTGAGGGGCTGATGGCTGTTTGCAGGTTGGCCACAGCCCCTTCAGGGTGGGGGGTCCTGCTGAGGTGCCTGGCCAGTCTGTCTGGGTGAGGGGCTGATGACTGTTTGCAGGCTGGCCACAACCCCCAGCCACCGAAGCTCCCAGTGGAGGCTGGCTGGAAGCAGGTATCTGGGATTTATTTGTCTTCTATAATTGAAACTTTGTTGCCATGAGCGGAGGCCGCAGCCGGCTCAGGCCCGGTGGGAAGCTTGGCTTCCTCCATCACCCAGGCAACCAAGCCTCCTGCTTGCTCCAACTCTGTGGCTGCCGGCCGCCATCTTGGTTGGGTTAATTTGCATATAGTTGCTCTGATTGGCTGGTGGGCGTGGCTTGGGGCATAGCGAAGGTATGGTCAATTAGCATCTTTGTCTTTTATTAGTGTAGATTATTATTGCTTTTGAGAAGGAGAGAGAGAAAGAGAGAGATCAATCAGTTGCCTCTTTTACATGCCCCAACCAGGAATTGAACTCACAACTTCGGTATGTGCCCTGACTGGAAATAGAACCCACAACCTTTTAATGTTCTAACCAACTGAGCCACCCAGCCAGGGCCAAAGCCTGCATTTCTTTTATTATTATTATTATTAATTTCTAAGCCTGCATTTCTTTTAAAATTTTCTTTTTTTTTTAAATTCTCTGTACCTGCCATTTTATTTTATTTTTTTAAAATTATTTGTTGAAAGTTTTACATATGTCTTCTTCCCCCCCCACCGCTCCCTCATTGACCTCTCCCAGGCTGCTCCTGCCTCCCAGCACATACCCCTACCCCCTATTGTCCGTGTCCATTGGTCATGCTCATATACATGGATGCAAGTCCTTTGGCTGATCTCTTACCTCACCTCCCTTCCCTCCCCTGCCTTCCTTCTGAAGTTTGACAGTCTGTTTGATGCCTCTATAGCATTTTCTTTATGGTGCATTTTGATCATAAACAGAAGATGAAAAAAATAGTTTAACTTACTCCCCATGTACCTATTACCCAGCTTTGACTTTTCCCACCCCACACCCAGTTGTGTTCCATCTACACCCCTACTCAGTGCCCCATGATGACATTATGACATTTTATCCATAAATGTTTCAGTATGTCTCTCTAAAAGATTAGCCTTCCTTTTACTCAAAATCACAATGCATCATCATACCTAAAAGAAAATAAAAAACAAAACAGTAATTCCTTTAAATTACTACCTATGTAATTAATTTTCACACTGTCATTTTCTCATATTTAATGTTTTTAAAAATCAGGATCCAAGTACGATACATGTATTACAATTGGTTGACATGTCTCTTAGGTCTCATTTAACTGACCAGAAGCTCTGTTCTTAACCACTATACTCTGATACAGGTTCTCTGTTACTAAGGAAGGTGATTTTAGAGGACTACATTAACTTCTTAAAATTCATTTTCAAAATTTTGCATGTATTTGTGTAAGTTAATTTTTCTAGGGAGAGTATCCCTGGTTCTCATTACAGTCTCAAAGCTTTAAGTAAGTAAGACTCAGAACAACTGAAAAGCATGTACCAAATACTATATTTTTTCAACTGTCACAGGGAATTGTATATACCACAAAAGCTAGACGATCATAAAATGGCAAGTTGAGTTTTGTTTTCTATGAAGATGAAGAAAGAAGTTAAATTCTGTTAAGTTTATTAACTTGAAATTTGAGAGGTCTTTACAAATTACGTTTGAGGTCAATAGAATTGGTTAAGGAGTAATTGATGTTTCTTTTAAAAATTTAATAGAATATATAATTGATTGATGACTCTTAAGTTCCTTTTGAATAAAGCATCTTGGTAGATTGTGGTTTTATTGTGAATTGTAGTGGTGAAAATCATACTCAGTACTTGAATTCCCTATCTGATGTGACTTGTGACTCCATGTGAATTGGTACAGGTAGAGACTGATTTTTTAGGATATTGTTGATTTGATCCATAATAATAGCTCCTTTGCAAATGTGTACAATTTTTCAATTGTATGCATGTATACAGGTACAAAATGAAAAGGTGATAAAGATTATCACTAACCTTACTCTTTGCACCAACTTTTCCTAGATAAAATCCAACATCAAACACCCAATGGTACTGTCATCAACAGTATAGAAATCCCCAAACCACCACAATACCCCAACCTGCCTATTCAGAAGAGTGGGGAACCTGATCCTGGGAGAAAGTCCCCAAGCAGACTTGCTTCAGATGGCAAATTGGAGTCCTGCCCCGAGGTGGACGTGGGGAAATTGGTGTCTAGGCTGCAGGATGGAGGAGGGAGCAAGGCCACCAATGGACCTGTGTCAGGCTCTGGGCCCACCAAGGCCTCCTCTTTCCACATAAAGAGACCAGCTCCTCGGCCCCTAGTTCATCACAAGGAGGGTAAGTGCTTGGGAATCCCATGGGAACCAAAACTGAACCCAACTACTTCGCACTTTGAGATCTTTCTGAAATTGGAGACATATAAGTAGAAATTGGTTACATTTAACTACCACTAATATTGGAATGGTAGACAAGAACATAAAAATCATTCACAATAATTGCTAGAATATAAGCTTCATGAGGGTAGGGAATTTTAACTTCTTTTATTTACCTTTATATCCCATGTGCTTAGAACAATGCTTAACTGTCCCATAGTAGGAACTCTTTATTTGTGGAGTAATTTAAAATAATTATATTATTTATTATTATTATTTTTGTTACTGTTGCCATTTATTAGGTATCTGCTATGTGCCTGGCATTGCAGTGGGCACTGACATGCTCTTTTTGATCCTCACAACCATACTGTGAAGAATGTATTATTATTGTTTTCTTTTCTACTGGAAATATGAGGTTCCTAGTGATAAGTGACTTGCCAAAGTCTACTAACTGGCAGAGCTATGTTCTAAATCTTACCAAGTCTTGTAGGCACCAAATCCTTTGTTTTTTTCAATAAGGCACAAGTATCACTTTACCTTTTTATAAGAAGCTTGGAATCTGTGAACTATTATTTTCTTACTAGAGGCCCGATGCATGAAAATCATGCAAGAGTAGGCCTTCTTTCCCCCAGCTGCTGGCATCGGCTTTCCTCTGACACCAGGACCCGGGCTTCCCTGTGGCTGCTGGCAGGCACCTGGGACCCGGGCTTCCCTCGCAGTCCTGGCTTCGTCCGGAAGGTCATCCGGAAGGATGTCCAGATGGATGTCCAGTCCAATTAGCATACTATGCATTTACTAGAGGCCCGGTGCACAAAAATTTGTGCACTCTGGGGGGTGGGTCCCCTCAGCCCAGCCTGTGCCCTCTCGCAGTCTGGGACCCCTCGGGGGATGACCGCCTGCAGGCTTAGGCCCACTCCCTGGGGGATTGGGCCTAAGCTCACAGAAATCCCTCTGGCAGCCTGGGAGCCCTCCTGGGATGTCCACTTGCCAGCAGGGAGCAGGCATAAGCTGCAGTCGGACATCCTTAGCGCTGCTGAGGAGGTGGGAGAGGTTCCCACCACCACCGCTGTACTGGCAGCCGTCAGCCTGGCTTGTGGCTGAGCAGAGCTCCCCCTGTGGGAGCGCACTGACCACCAGGGGGCAGCTCCTGCATTGAGCATCTGTCCCCTGGTGGTCAGTGTGTGTCATAGTGACCAGTCATTCCCAGTCATTCTGCTGGTAGGGTCAATTTGCATATTACCCTTTTATTATATAGGAGTGCCTGGCCAGCCTGGCTGAGGGGCTGATGGCTGTTTGCAGGCTGGCCATGGCTCCCAGCCACCCAAGCTCCCAGTGGAGGCTGGCTGGAAGCAGGTATCTGGGATTTATTTGTCTTCTATAATTGAAACTTTGTTGCCATGAGCGGAGGCCACAGCCGGCTCAGAGCAGGCGGTAAGCTTGACTTCCTCTATCGCCTGGGCAACCAAGCCTCCTGCTTGCTCCAGCTCCGTGGCTGCCAGCTGCCATCTTGGTTGGGTTAATTTGCATATAGTCGCTCTGTTTGCCTGGTGGGCATGGCTTAGGGTGTAGCAAAGGTACGGTCAATTAGCATCTTTGTCTTTTATTATTGTAGATTATTATAGATTCTTACTCTCCAGTTTTGTAGAAATAAGAACAAAAGAGCCACAACTTCTGCAAAACACCCAGCAATTCCACTTCTGGGAATTTATACGTAGAAACCTAAAACACTAATTCAAAAGTATATATGCACCCCTATGTTCATTATAGCATTAATTACAATAGCTAAGAACTGGAAACAGCCCAAGTGCCCATCAGTAAATGAGTAGGTAAAAAAGCTGTGGTACATTTACACCAGGGGTCCTCAAACTTTTTAAACAGGGGGCCAGTTCACTGTCCCTCAGACCATTGGAGGGCCGGACTATAGTTTTAAAAAAAACTATGAACAAATTCCTATGCACACTGCACATATCTTATTTTGAAGTAAAAAAACAAAATGGGAACAAATACAATATTTGTATTTGCATGTGGCCCACGGGCTGTAGTTTGAGGACCCCTGATTTACACAATAGAATACTACACAGCTGCAAAAAAGTAAGAACTCTTACCATTTGCAACAGCATGGATGGATCTGGAGAGTATCATGCTAAGTTAAATAAGCCAATCAGAAAAAAGACAAGTGCCATATGATTTCACTCATATGTGGAATTTGATGAACAAACTGAACTAACAAGCAAAATAGAGACAGGTTCATAGATAAAGAGCAGGCAGACAGCTCTGGTAGAGGGCAGGGTGTGTTAGGGAGTTCAGGGATTGAGCAAAATAGAAAAGAGGAAGAATTCATGGACATAGACAATAGTGTGATAATTGTGGCGGGGGTGGAGGTGGAAGAGAGTGTAGGGGGATAAATGGTAATGGAAAATAATAAAATAAATAAAGAAAAATGACAAATTCATGATGTTGCTGGATTCTGCATGTTTAATTGGCTACATCATATGGAGAGTCATGAAGGGAGTTTGGGACTAATCCAGTGGAAATTTGGGGAGAATATAAATCTATCAAAACAATATGGTATAATGGAAAGAATATGGACTTTGATAGCACCCAGGCTTAGATCCAAACCCTGATTCTTTTACTTAGATAACCTTCTAAAAATGTGCCTTATGTTTTACATCCTGCTCTGTTCCAAAGACAATTTAAGGCATTTCACAATATAGAAAAATATAAGTACTTTAAAATAGTAATAATTTATTTAATAAACAAATGTTTATTGAGTACTTACTGTGTGCCTGGCCCCATTCTAGGTATTGAGGGTGTTAAAGTGAATAAGACATATAGGTATCAGGGCTTAGCTAACTATGGCCTCAAGTGGTTATAAAAACTCAACAGAAAAATTATATATCATAACACATGAAAATTATATGAAATTCAAATTTCCATGTCCAAGGAAATATGCTCCTTCATTTACATATTTCCTAGAGCTGTTTTTGCACTACAGTAGCAGTATTGAGTAGTGGAGACTCTGTGGCCTGAAAAGCCTAAAATTCTAGAGTATAGGTAAGAAAAGTTAAGGCCAAGAAGGTGAAAAGGTATAATTGTAGGAAGATGGAAAGAATGGAATTAGTACACAAAATGTTTGTCGTGAAGCCTTATACACTTGCTTTAGCATTTGGCTCCAAACTTTCTTGAGAAAATAAAAAGGGGAGAAAAAAACCCTCGATGGTTATATAATTCCAAGTTCTTAAGGTGACAGCAAGCCAGTTGTTCAAGAAAAGCATAACTCTTCTGCTTTTGAGAATAGAAAATGTTTCTAAGAAGCATTTTCGCCCATGGATGGTTGTATATAACAGCCTCAGCATGAGTTGATGACATTGTCTCAGGGCACAATTCAGTAAAAGCTATTCTGTGGGGGATCCAATAAGATTTTCCCTAAGTAACTGACTCTGCATTCTCTAGCTCAACACACTGAAGCATCTGTATTGTTATAGTTAAGTTATTTAACCTCTTTGCACCTAAGTTTCCATGCCTATAAATGAGAAAAACAGCTCACTCCACAGAATTATTACTAGGGTTAAAAATGAATAACAATATTCAAAATATGTTATTATTTCCCTCCCTTTGCCCTTTCCCTCTGTAAGACTTGCCTCTTCTGGGAAGCAGCCAAGTAAGGCCAGACTTCTATGTAGACATCTGCTTCAATTTATAAGTCATATATTGACCTTCACATCAGTCTAGTAGAGAGTTGTGTAACTTAGCTTATGTTCATCACAGTAAAGTTTGTCTTGCCTGTCGCCAACCCTTAAGGTCAGCCAGATCCTATCTTCTCAGCACAAACAGTAACTTAGCCCTCCCTATCAGTTCCGCCTCCACCATCTTCTGCTGCAAAGTTAAATCCCAGGGGCATTCCCCTCTTCCCCTTCCTCCACAGTCCTGCCCCACGCTGCTGGTGGTCACTGCTCTGATCTAATTGTTTACGTTAATGAAAGTACTGACCTGACTGTCCAGTGTTAGCCAGACGATTTAAATTTCTGCCACAGAATTGCCTGGCTTTGCTTGCTGCCTAAGGCTAGTGTGATGCAGCTTTTTTTCAAAGTTTCATGCCTCTAGCTTTGGTTACAGAAAGCATAACGGAGGCAGTAGTTTTAGCCTTGATCAAAAATTAATCAAACCTCTGGTGTTGCCTCTTTGAACCTTGCTCACTTCTACTTTCTACTTTCTCCCTTCCTCCCATTTTGGCTCCCACTCCAGTGATAGATTCCAGGCATAAGTACGGATATCAATTAAACCAAAGCTGCAAAAAGCTCTCTGACTCTGAGCTATAAGACAACAGCTTGAATGGCAGTGTCTGAGGGCAGGAGCTGTCATCTCAGCAGACCTACCTTGCAGTTGTCACTCTCCTTCGCCTGTGTTGTTCAGAGCTTTGCCTATCATCCTGAGAGTCAGTGCACAGGCCTCATTGCTTTAGTGATCCAACTATGCCACTGTCCTGTCCCTTACCTTCACCCCTTGCATTGATCCAATATTTGAGTGGACTTGATAGTCTCCAAATTTTTTCTTAGCAATTAAAAATAGCAAAAACAAGGGGCATGCTAAATTGCTTTGTTCCATGCAAGTCAACTTCACAATAAGATCAATATTGTTTGCTGATGTAGTTTTGCCAAGGGTCCTTTTCTATTCCTGACATGGAACTGGATACTTTCTCTACTTCTGTTACATGTAATCATGTGATAGTCCTATGATGTAGGCTTTGTTCCCCCCATTTCATAGATAGAGAAACCAAGGCTCAGAGAAGTGAATTAAGTTGCCCAGCCACCCAGTTTGTAAGATGTAGAGATAAGACTTGAACCCAGACTTCTTGAGTACCACATTATTTTTTTCTTTATTGATTAAGGTATTATATATGTGTCCCTACCCCTGATTGCCCCCACCCTCCCATTTGTGCCCTCACCTCACTAATGTCTGTGTCCA